GTACTATTTAAAGCATTTTACAGCTTTTCCCTTCTCTTAACATGTATCTCCAGGTTTGTACTATTTAAAAGCATTTTACAGCTTTTCCCTTCTCTTAACATTTATCTCCAGGTTGTTTACTACTTAAACGCATTTTACAGCTTTTCCCTTCTCTTAACATTTATCTCCAGGTTTGTACTATTTAAAAGCATTTTACAGCTTTTCCTTTCTCTTAACATTTATCTCCAGGTTGTTTACTACTTAAACGCATTTTACAGCTTTTCTTTTCTCTTAACATGTATCTCCAGGTTGTTTATTACTTAAAAGAATTGTTCTACTTTTCCATCCTTTTAACGCTTTTCTCCAGAAATATTTCGTGCACATTTTATTTTGAAGTTAGACTTCCTGTCGCTGTATATCGTGTGTAATTTTGTGTAAATTCATGTTGCATTGTCAGCTAAAATGTTTGTTTAGAGCTAATTTAACTGGCCGATCGTCATCAAATATATTAGGTTGCGGGAAAAATATCAAACAGCAAGGGTAATCAAATGACATTCTAATTAATATAGGTTTCAGTTTTCATGTGTATTGAATTCAGCTGGTTCTACAGGTAATGTATATCCTACCTTTTGTTCTTACCTGTATAACTAATTAATATAGGTTTCAGTTTTGATGTGTATTGAATTCAGATGGTTCTACAGGTAATGTATATGCTACCTTTTGTTCTTACCTGTATAACTAATTAATATAGGTTTCAGTTTTGATGTGTATTGAATTCAGATGGTTCTACAGGTAATGTATATGCTACCTTTTGTTCTTACCTGTATAAGTGACTATCTTTTGATCAGTAATGTTTAATTTCAGAGACTCCTTGATATTGTGTATCATCAACCCGGCCACAAGCATCTTCTCTGGAGCGGTTATTTTCTCAGTTCTTGGACACATGGCTCATGTGAAGGAAGTCGAAGTAGCCGATGTAGTTAAATCAGGTACATTTGTTTCTGCTATACAAAATATGTGGCCTAGCTAATTAATGGATGAATATTTGGTGTAAAATTCTTATCAATGCTATAAGTCTAGCTACCAGTTTGGCCGCCAATTTTTATTTCATTCCTTTAACTCGCACACTCAATCCTTTTTTAGCCGCACCTTTTTTTCACAGTTAAGGTGTTTTTGATTAGATATACATTTTTTTCAATACACACCAACAAACCAAACAAGTAAAAAAGTGACGCTCGATAGTAACCAACATTAGTCCTAAATAACCCGAAAACTAGGACACCATACAACTTAGTTCAGATGTATTGTTAGAATATCTTCACTGCCGTAGAGTCTTAACTCAGGTCTACTGACTGATATCTGCACTGCCGTAGAGTCTTAACTCAGGTCTACTGTTTGAATATCTGCACTGCCGTAGAGTCTTAACTCAGGTCTACTGTTTGAATATCTGCACTGCTGATATCTGGCTGATATTTTCACTGCTGCAGAGTTTTAACTCAGGTCTACTGTTTGAATATCTGCACTGCCGTAGAGTCTTAACTCAGGTCTACTGTTTGAATATCTGCACTGCTGATAGAGTCTTAACTCAGGTCTACTGGCTGATATCTTCACTGCTGCAGAGTCTTAACTCAGGTCTACTGTTTGAATATCTTCACTGCCGTAGAGTCTTAACTCGGGTCTACTGGCTGATATCTGCACTGCCGTAGAGTCTTAACTCAGGTCTACTGTTTGATTATCTGCACTGCCGTAGAGTCTTAACCCAGGTCTACTGGCTGATATCTTCACCCCTTGCTGAAATGTTCCCTTCATTCCTTGCTGTTATATATATTTTATTTTTACTTATTATTAGTATAATTTATGAAAACAAAATATTGTAAAACAGTCTGTGACAATACCATCAGGAGCATGCTACATCATGGCTGTAGGGAAGAGCTTAATGAATCAACACGTTTTCAAATTAGAACATTAACTGGACGTATCCAATAAAAGTTGATCACTTTACTTTATGGAACGTAAATAAGGTAATTTTGTAATACAAGATGGGGAAGGGTAGGTGTGTATATTATCACAATATGTATTGTGTCCGAAACACGTAGCTTTAGTTAACAGCGTTTTAAATGTCGGTAAGCTTTTCATCTGTCTGTGCAGGCCCCTGTAGGTTCGTCGATATGTCATTGGGCTTATATTGTTAGAAATCGGATTTCGATACCCGTAGTGGGCACAACACAGATAGTCTAATATGTTGTTTTATGCTTTGCAACACAGATAGTCTAATATGTTGATTTATGCTTTGCAACACAGATAGTCTAATATGTTGCTTTATGCTTTACAACACAGATAGTCTAATATGTTGTTTTATGCTTTACAACCCAGATAGTCTAATATGTTGCTTTATGCTTTACAACACAGATAGTCTAATATGTTGCTTTATGCTTTGCAACACAGATAGTCTAATATGTTGTTTTATGCTTTGCAACAAATATAGTCTAATATGTTGTTTTATGCTTTGCAACAAATATATAAGCAAACTATTTCTGGAAACAATATAACACGAACCCAACTGTTCAAACTTTCACGTCTCATCTTCTATACCCAGTTTATACTGTTTACCACTGTCTTTATGTCTCATCTTCTATACCCAGTTTATACTGTTTACCACTGTCTTTATGTCTCATCTTCTATACCCAGTCTGTACTGTTTACCGTTGTCTTTATGTCTCATCTTCTATACCCAATTTGTACTGTTACAATTGGATTTATATCTCATCTTCTATACCCAGTCTGTACTGTTTACAATTGGATTTATATCTCATCTTCTATACCCAGTCTGTACTGTTTACCATTGTCTTTATGTCTCATCTTCTATACCCAGTCTGTACTGTTTACTATTGTCTTTATGTCTCATCTCCTAGACCCAGTCTGTACTGTTTACAATTGGATTTATATCTCATCTTCTATACCCAGTCTGTACTGTTTGCCACTGTCTTTATGTCTCATCTTCTATACCCAGTCTGTACTGTTTATAATTGGATTTATATCTCATCTTCTATACCCAGTCTGTAATGTTTACCACTGTCTTTATGTCTCATCTTCTACACCCAGTTTGTACTGCTTACCATACCCAGTCTGTAATGTTTACCACTGTCAGCCATTGCAGAAAGTCTTCCAGACGTGCACCACTCTTGTCTCCTTTCACCAAGAAAATCCTTCAGGAGAATCTATTCACTCTGGTCATAAGTCATTATGTCATTTTTCCGAAATGTTCTTAACTTTGAGATTAAGCTTATGTCAAAATATCTTTCCCCGAAATGTAAATATGACTATTCTTTATTCGATACAGAAAAACTATTTCATGTTATTGAATCCTTTATGTAACACTTCATGTCTGTTAGATGTTTTATAAGTATGATGAAACCATATTTTAACCAAGCTTGAAGTATAAAAATACAAGTCTGTAAATTTCTTTTTGTGGCACACTTCACATTCGAAGTGACCATTATTGTTACTGATTAAAGTGTTCAAAAGGAAGGCTTGTGATCTTCCTGAGTTTTATACTTCATTCAAATAGTGAAGAAATTGGAAAGCCCCGAACAGAATTACCAAAGATGGTATAAAGTGTCATCACTGCTAATATCCCGAAATCGTTTTCTTAACAGAATAAATTTTGCAGTAAAATAATCTCCCTTTATTCTGAATGGAAAGTTTTATGATCAGATTAATGGTGTTGTCATGACTGGCACCATCTTTAATGTTTTCGCGACAAACAGTGGATAGAGAACAGTTAACAACAGTTAGGTATGTTGACTTACTACTTCACATATATATAATGGTGAATTGTAGTGGCGGGAAGCTACCATCATTTAATAGTTCAGATTAGTAAAGAATTAGCTTATAGAACTTGAGAATTATGAAATAAGTTTACGCAACTCATTCATATATATATATATATATATACTCTTCGTTCTGATGGATGATGTTTGTCGTCTTTTTTAATATTGAAATATTTCTCGTTTACAATCTCAAGACACTCAAACTCTGCTTCAGTGTGTCACATAAAGAAATCATTCTAACTTTCTGCTTTATCATTATTAACTCATGTTCAGAATTAAAAACCGTTATATACGTGCGCGATTGAATGGTATGAGGCAAGCCTTTCGTTTTTATGAGAAAAAGTAATTCTGACATTCAAAGTGTTGAATCGCTGCCTGAGACTGAGATGATGTATACAATATTTGTCGACGATAAAGGATTACCCTGAGACTGAGATGATGTATATAATATTTGTCGACGATAAAGGACTACCCTGAGACTGAGATGATGTATACAATATTTGTCGACGATAAAGGACTACCCTGAGACTGAGATGATGTATACAATATTTGTCGACGATAAAGGATTACCCTGAGACTGAGATGATGTATACAATATTTGTCGACGATAAAGGACTACTAATTTATTTGTTTGATGCCAGGATACCGTTTTGTTACGAATAATAATGCTCAGTCTAAGCATGTATTCTAAGACTTCACCATAGAAACCTGGGGTATCGTATGGTAGTTCTAGTCTGATTGATGATAATATACTGGCGGGTATATATATAAATTAAGGAAATGTGTTTTATATGCAATTCATGTCATTTAAAGTGTTAATCTTTCTTTCAGGCCCAGGCCTAGCATTTCTTGTGTATCCCGAAGCAGTTCTTCAGCTCCCATTAGCCCCTTTGTGGTCAATTATGTTTTTCATTATGCTACTGGTTCTTGGTATTGATAGCCAGGTAAGGCATAAGTTTGATTATCTAATTGCCTTTTCTTTAATTACTCAAATAGTTGCTATATATGTGTTAAAGATTGTTTAGCTTTTCTGCTTACGTAAAAGTATTTGTTTAGTTGATTTATATGCTCTCTGAATATCTACATTCCTGCAGAGTCTTAACTCAGGTCTACTGTTTGAATATCTACACTCCTGCAGAGTCTTAACTCAGATCTACTGTTTGAATATCTACATTCCAGCAGAGTCTTAACTCAGGTCTACTATTTGAATATATACACCACTGCAGAGTCTTAACTCAGATCTACTGTTTGAATATCTACACTCCTGCATAGTCTTAACTCAGGTCTACTATTTGAATATCTACATTCCTGCAGAGTCTTAACTTAGATGTACTGTTTGAATATCTACACTCCTGCATAGTCTTAACTCAGGTGTACTGTTTGAATATCTGCGTTCCTGCAGAGTCTTAACTCAGGTGTACTGTTTGAATATGTACAGTCCTGCAGGGTCTTAATTCAGGCCTACTGTTTGAATATCTACATTCCTGCAGAGTCTTAATTCAGGTGTACTGTTTGAATATCTACATTCCTGCAGAGTCTTAACTCAGGTCTACTGCTTGAATATCTACATTCCTGCAGAGTCTTAACTCAGGTCTACTGTTTGAATATCTACACTCCTGAAGAGTCTTAATTCAGGCCTACTGTTTGAATATCTACATTCCTGAATAGTCTTAACTCAGGTCTACTGTTTGAACATCTACATTCCTGCAGAGTCTTATCTCAGGTCTACTATTTGAATATCTAAATTCTTGCAGAGTCTTAACTCATGTCTGGGGTCTGAATATTTGCAGTCCTGCAGAGTCTTAACTCAGGTGTACTGTTTGAATATCTATATTCCCGCAGAGTCTTAACTCAGGTCTACTGTTTGAATATCTACATTCCTGCAGAATCTTAACTCAGGTCTGGGGTCTGAATACTTGCAGTCCTGTAGAGTCTTAACTCATGTCTGGAGTCTGAATATTTGCAGTCCTGTAGAGTCTTAACTCATGTCTGGAGTCTGAATATTTGCAGTCCTGTAGAGTCTTAACTCATGTCTG